CATATAAAATACCTCAGTGCGAGCAAGCATTGGCTAAATATACTAGCAGAAGTAGCTAAGCTAACGGAATTGCTAGAAAGTTAAAACACTGGAATGAACACAGTTTCAAACTATAACAAAATTATGTTAGCCATCATTTGTTGATTTTGAGCTTTGTTTGTCGATTCCCTTCAAATCCGAGTGTGAGTTCGAGCTCTAGAGCCGTCCATACTTTCTCCTCAATCTGCGCTCACAACGTGTTTGTTAAAACGTCCAAATGATTCAATCTGGTTCTGGTCTATCTTGAGCATTTACGAGCATGTTCCTTTTCATGAAATGAACCATCTACTGATTAAACGATTACGGTGTCAGCTAAAATCCTTGTTTTTGAATTCATATGGTAGATTGTCTTTTATATTTATTTCATAGTTGCTATTTTGTACGACGTGGTTGATGGAAGTTTGAGTTTGTTTGATGTTTGGCTGCGATTGATGGGCTGTTTCTGTGTATGTTCGGAATGGTCGCCTGCGGCATCTGTTAACGTGTTGATGATGGTTGTCGTTGATGAATGCTACGAACTATAACGGCATTACCACATGGAACGCTACACATTCTGCTGCTTTTACTGATGGAAACTCTTTCCGCAATTCTGCATGTAGTCACAACTCACAAGTCACTACATCTTATTTTGCATCGTATTTTACTTCCCTTGCGTATGACGGTCACATGTGATTATCACATCTGAGATTTATTTACATGTTTCACAGTTCAACTAATCGAAGTTTAAATTCTCTGTTCCACCATTACTTGATGACAATCCAACACCAATACATTGTGTAGCCTTTGAGAAGAGCATGATCGGCCACTTCAGCAAGCCTTCTGCGACATAATTGGAAGTTTGCAGCACTCGAGCAAAGTTGTATAGGTACAGATCAACTTAATTTGAAAATGTTGTGAAGTGAGGGCGAGCACATTTTGCATTTCGATACACTTCATCGCCAAATAGTTACCCTTAACTGCGCATGATACACAGATTTAGGAAACCAGCAAGAAGCCTGAAATCCCAATCAATCCCCAAAATGGGGACTCTACATAGTAGATAGGCAGTGTGTCGGAACGAGAACTGAACTGACGATAGAATGATCCGAGCTACATATACCAATTTATACTCAAGCCACCGCAGGCACATTTCATTAACAAAATTTCAGTTCAAATTCAACAATGGTACCATAATATCTCACTGTAGGTAACCGGGGCTCCAAAATCTTATAACAGCAATCAATATGCTTTGGACAGCAGTATTTCGCACTGTTCATCGCGATTAGAGCCCTAAAACCGATCGGGACATAACTGCCGCAAGCCTGCGCGAGTTGAACTTGGAACACGATGACAGACTCGAGCAATACACGTCGTGAAAAGATAAGATGCGCATCTCCACTGACAATCAGTATCCATAATCAAATCCTCGCAATCGCAGTGTAGCGATTCCCAATTCGGATTTAACCGCTACATGCGCCATTAGCGGCAACACGAGTCACTAAAGGGTGTAAAAAGACCGGACCATCAACGAGTCGCCGTGCTCGCTGTCTTTCCTCCCTCCCTCCCTCCTGTGAATGCAGCTCTGGGGGTCGCGAGGTCGAGAGGGTCGACGAAGCCGAGGCTACCGATTGCATCATGGGTCGAAGCTGCCTCGCATCACGGTGAAGGAGCGTCGTGACTCGAAAGTTGTGAATTCACCGAAAATGGCGAGCTGAGCGGGAAGCAAATTCCTTGTTGGGCGTTTCGGACGCCCGTGCAAAGCGCGCGGCGGTTTCCTTTCTCAGATAAAATTCAATGCCTCTTGATCACCGCTGTTTCCTATTTTCACCTAATTGACTACCGCATCGCACTCTTGATTTAAGACGATTTTTTTTACCATTTCGTTCTGCATTTTCTTTTGTTTCAATTTTACTAAATACGAAACTACCCATGGCCATTACAAACAACATTTGTTAAGGTTAAATGTGGAGCCTATTATTGATTTACTATTGTTTCTTGCCTTTTTTCTTCTTTTTTGGGTTTTTCCTTTTCCTTCTCCATTTGGAACAAAATTGGTGTCCCTCTTTTCTGAAAAAGAGTTTATTTGGTAGATAGCTAACTAAATATTGTGTTAATAAGTTGTGTATTTCTCTTTTTTGTACTAGGAAACTATTTTTTAAAGAATAACCTAAGAACAAGTAAGAGTGAAAAGACTCAATCTACCAGTTTTAGTATGCATTTCGTTTAATTATAACTTTGATATATGTCATTACGTCATAGTCTGTGTAATTTGACTGCTCAAATTTCATTTTATCTGGTGAATCTAATAGTTTAATTTTTATTTATTTTTCATGCCATCATTGCATGATGTTTTAAGAGATATTTTTGAAAAGAAAATTAAAAATATGATAGAGTTCAGTACATAAAAAATTCTAAACATCCATTACTATCAAGCAAATCCAAAAGAAAATGCTCCCTAAAACATTATTATATGGAATACTATATTTGCCTTGATTGCATGTATAATTAGCTATTGACAAGAAATTATGACAATTGTAACGATATTGTAAGACGAGCCATTCAAACCATTTGCAAACACATATTTTTTGTCAATACTAAATGCATCATGATTTTCATGGAACCATCAATGAAAATAACATTATCCACTGTAATAATAACAAATTGATATGCAACTTAACAAACGATATTGTTCGTTCAGCTGTTTGGCTCCCCTAGAAAGGTTACCATCTCGAAAAAAAATATTTTACTTGAAGCAAACAATAAAAGTTTTTATTTACGTCAATAAGAGTTCACTTAAAACACACATATATTGAAGAATAAGTTTCAATGTTTAGTGTAAGAAGCTCCAAATGAAGTTGTTGACATAATTGATTGTTGTTACCTATCCATAGTTTCATTATTAATAGATACATTTAACCAATTTGGGTCCTCTTCAATATTGTCTTCCATAGTGACTGCACCACAAAAAACAATACAACGAAAGATGAGTAAATTTTGTATAATGCATTCATCAACCACATAATCAATCTTTGAGTAAATTCTTGTAAATTTGCATCGAAAATTGAAGTTGAAAAATTCATGATCATGGGGATTATCCAGGGAAATAAAGTTAATAATTGCGGAATAAGTTTAGGAGAAGACAAACATGAAGGAAACGTTGAAATGTAATGGTGTGGAAAATGCAGCTAGAGTGAAAAAAAAGTTGTTTGAAAGGGATGTAGGCAGTTTTGTCTTCTAATAAAATTAAAACAAAAGAAAAAGAAGAGAAAAAAGTAAGAAATAGTATTAAAATAAGAGTGGAACCCACAAGGATAATGTGTTCAATTCAATGTGATAAGAGTGTGTTAGGAGGCAATAAGGAATGGAAATTGTGCAAGCCTAATGAAGAATGTAATATTAGTTTTTGCAGGCGAACAGGTAAAGCTTAAACCAGCAATTCTTAGCTTATGTTTCTCGGGCCCTTCCCATTGTCTTCTGGTGAGCCGTAAATTCGAAGAAGATGACCTCTAGGAATGGCATCAGAGGATCAATATATCTGAACCGAGTCCAAAAAGATTGGGTCAATCGCGCTGTTTCTTTTCCTTCTTCTTTGGGCAGACGCAATCCGTTCCCATGCGTCGAGACTTGCATGATCATATCCGCACCCCTCAAACGCTCAACAATCGCTCTGCAATCTTTTGACCTAGTCTTCTGTTTATGAATGAAATGCCTGCGGAATGGATGGGTCGGATCAGGATGCGGCCCTCCTTGAAAAAATCCGCAATTATAGAATTTTTCCATCAGGATTGCTTCCACGACTTCGTAAAATAAACACCGAAATAATGATTTGGTTCAGTACCAATTAGATGTATCGTTCCGTGGGGTGATATTCGTTTCATGTCGAAATAACAGTGATGAACGCGAATCAATCATGTCAAGTGGGTCAATACAATTGCTATGCACGCCCGATTAGCAATAACATATGCCTGCTAATTTTCTTGTCGTGTCCGAATAGAGCTTATGTCCAGTCCTAGAAATTGTCATCTCAGTAGTTACCAACACAGAAAAAATTGGTCCTCGAATTTTTGTGTTCAACTTAACCGGTTATTTGACGTTATCGATTCAATCAAATCGTGTTTAAATGAATGGCGGTGCATAAAACAGCACCATAATATTTTGATGATACCTGCCCTCTCAATTTCTTTTAGCTCTCTCTGCTTTTTCAAATAAAAAAATGAATTTTATTACAAATATAGTGAGGGAGGGAAATAAAACGGGCGGATTATGTCTTTCAACGAGGTAGTTTGTTCCGAATGTCTTGTCCGTGGCGTGAGAAAATAAATTGTAATAACGAGGTATGGTCTTTGCTGTTGACGTATAGTGCTTGATGGTTTCAAGAGATGTATTTTTATTTTAGTGTCTTACTTGTACCGTATTTTAGTATAACTATTATTCGAATTATCGATTATAATTTTCTCGTATTGCCACCAACACGCTTCCGAACTAGACAAATGGTGTTAAAGCCACGTTTCCATACTCAGTAAGGCGGTGCCCTGTGTACAGTGGAGGGGATCCTCAGAGAAGCAAGCTAAACGAGAGAGAAGATCAAAACAAAAAGAAGTGTGCTTTGGAAATGGAGTCCTCCTAGCATTCATTATTGGAAAGACTAATTTAAATTTTATGGTGTGTTTTTGGCCATTTTGGATGTGAATTTAGCTTCCTGGTTCTCATTATATATGTGAAGGATTTGAGTAATTTGAGCTTCAATTTCCTTCTAGGAGTACAAAAGCCAAACCACGGTCTTCAAATTCGCCACCTGTCGATCTCACTGAAGATCCTCTCGATTTTGATTCCGACTCGCCGCCTGCTTCTCAATCATCGACGACTTGCCTGCCATATTTCCTGGTTGCAGTTTCAAGAAACCAGTAACATCCCCAGGCTACTACCAGGGCTTCGTTGTGCCTGACAATTCAGGCTTCCGAATCTGGTTGTTCCTGTTGTAGGCCAAATGAATCTCTCCAGTTTCCTGGTTCTGATCTGGAGCTTTGGCAAGGACATCTTAAAGAGGGTAGCTTTCTGTGAGCTACAGGCAGCTACCAACCATTTCAGCGACAAAAAGATTGTGGCCAGGGGCAGGTTTGGTCGCGTATATGAAGGACTTTTGGCAGACGGCTCTCGACTGGCCATAAAAAGAATCACCGTGCGATCCCATTTGGAAATGAGAGAGTTCCATGCAGAAGTAAAATTGGGAAACATGCCCTCGCATTGGAACTTGGTCCCGGTTCTCTGGTTTGGCTCGTCGTAAGAACTGCTTAATGGAAGCTTGTTCTCGTTTCTAAGAGGAAGACCGTCCATGAAGCTCTGTCTTGATTGGCCACCAGGAAGAAAATAGCTCTCGGAGCAGCGAGAGCAATTTCCCATCTGCACAATCACGGCGTAATCCATGGGGACATTAAGCCCCATAACATACTGCTGGATGAGAACTTTGAGGCTCGTATTGGTGATTTCGGGAAGGCCATCTTCATGGACAAGGATGAAGAGAAGGGTGTTTCCAAGGAAGCCAGCTTATTTAGCCTCAGCTTTGTTAGCACCCAAATAGGCAGGACGTATGGTTATCTCGATCCAGAGTACTCCAAAAGTGGGATGTGCTCAGTGAAGAGCAATGTCTATGGTTTTGGGGTGACCCTTCTCGAACTCATCAGCAGTCGTTGTGCTCAGAGAAGAATCAGTTCTCCGGGGCTGCTGCTACCTGAATGGGCAGGGGTGCTTTTCAAAGATGAAAAGTCAGAAAGGCTAGTCGATGCTGACATAAGGAGCGGGCATAAGGAAGGCGAAGTCAAGAAAACCATCCTGCTAGCCCTAATTTGCACGCAACTCGACCCCAGAAAACAACCTAATATGGTGGAAGTAGTCCAAATTCTTGAAGGGGCTATTAGCTCGGAGAAGAGGGGGGAGGAGTCCGAAAATGACAGCATTATGCCGACGCGTCAATGGCTGCCCAAACTCTAATATGGACATGGCGGACTCGGCATCTTCTCTCTGTCACAAAGACTAATCAATACCACATCCCCGATAATAGTTTCGTGGAGTTGTTGCTCAGTCATAAGATCGCCGATGAGATTGTCCTGATTCTGAGAATTACATGACTTCTATTGTAACCTGGATAATGATTGTGCTGCTTTTATGCTTTTCCACTTATGTTCATTGGTTGATTCTTTGGTTGTTATTCAGTGAGACACTTCGTCCATTTTCTTTGGCTAACACCCACCCCGTGAAATGTTCAATGATTTATGAATCTCCAAGATGTTGCAGTTCCACACCTGTTTCTAAAAGGCAGCCTGTTAGGCTAGATTGAGTTGAAGTAAAATAAATAAGTAAATCACGTCGAAGGGAAAATCTTCGAGATAAGCTAGGATTCATGGACCACAATATCTTTCATTATAAATGCAGGTAGAGATAGGTTTCCTCATATGACGGAACATAATTAGTTCCAATAGATTCCTTGCTTGATTTGGAAGGGCTTGTGGAGCAATTTTCTGGGTTTATACCGAAGCATATATCTGTACTAATTGATTGGAATCTGTGTAAGAGACACTTGATAAGAAAATTTAAGCAAGTTCAATGACTTGATTAGACAAGTCATACGTAAAAGGACTTGATTGGAAAGAGAACATAACTTCAGGGGCAAAAGTAAAATTTTTACCTTTCGTTTTCGAGATGGAAGTCATTAGTTGGCGTTACTCATGGAACAAAGGAACGTGATCCATTACACCTCTTGCTTCAATTCTTCTTCCACCAGATGAAGGTGGTTTGCCCGGGCCTATAATTCAACTTAATAGCTGGTGTCGGTGTCAGCCGAGGAAACGGGCTGAATTGCATTCAGACACAACATAGAAATTGTAAGCGTTGGACTAAATTTCCCAAAGAAAGTTCGACGTACCAAGAGGGGAAACAGCTTAGGGGAGAAGCGAAAGAAACCAAGACGACTGACTGGCTGGAGTCATCGCTCTTGTCCAAAGGGTTGGTGGGAGATAACAAGCATGATATACAACTCCACAAAGCGTGTGGAACCCCACTAGTGCTGTTTCTATTGGCTTTGATTAAGTGCAGGTGCGTGCTTCGTTCTACGATTTTACTGGGAAGCATCTCCCTGCAGGCATGACAGACCACCAAAATATAAAACTGTGAATATCCAGACTCAGCTCAGGCTCACCTCTGCAGCAGAAAACCCTTCTTCCTTCCTCCTCCTGCTCCCGTTTGCGAAAAAATAAAAAAATTCGAGCAATCCGAGCTTAATTTCAGAGGAGTGTGGTGTTTCAGAAGAACGAAGAACCATGACCTTCAAGTTTTCAACCATCGATCTCACCAAAGATCCTCCCGATTTCGATCCGCAATCAACGCCTGCTTCTCGGTCATCGACGATTTGTCTGCCACTTAATCCTGCTGGCTGCAGTTTCATCAAAGCTACAACATCCTGCCAGGTCGCTGCCGGTGCGTCTCTGCGCTTGGCCAATTCAGCTTCGAAGTTCGGTTGCTGGAGGCCAAGCGAACCGATCCAATGTCCCGAGGAAGGACGCCTTAAAAGATTCACTGTCCGCGAGCTGAAGGGCGCTACCAACAACTTCAGTGAGACAAAGAAGGTGGGCAAGGGTGGGTTCAGTTGTGTGTACGAAGGACTCTTGGGGGATGGATCCAGAGTGGCGATAAAAAGACTCACTAGACATCCCGCTCTGGTATTGATACTCCGTGCTGAAGTAAAATTGGGGAATATGATTTGGCATCGGAATCTGCTTCCCGTTCATGGCTTTTGTTTGTCATCGAAACATGGAGAATACACGCTCGTGTACACTTTCATGGTGAACGGAAGCCTAGACTCCCTCCTTTTAAGAGGACAGTCAACAGAGAAGCCCCCACTTGATTGGCCCACCAGGAAGAAGATAGCAATTGGAGCTGCGAGAGGGATTTCCCATTTGCATGATCTGAGGATAATTCACAGGGACATTAAACCCGCTAATATACTGTTAAATGAGGACTTTGAGGCTCATATTGGAGATTTTGGGTTGGCCTTGTTCATGGACGAGTACAAAGAGAAGGCTGTTTGCGAAGGAGAACCCAATGGTGAAGACGCTTATTTCAGGTCCAGCACAATGGGGACAATTGGTTACATGGATCTAGCGAGCTTTACTGGAACATACTCAGTAAAGAGCGATGTTTATGGGTTTGGCATGACGCTTCTTGAACTCATAAGTGGTCGAAGAGTTTGGGAAACAACCTGCCTCGATGGAAATGAACTGGGGTTGTGTGCATGGGCACATGCCCTTTCAGAAAACGAACAGTGGGAAAGGCTAGTCGATACCAATATGCCGAGCGGCTATAACGAGAGTGAAGTCGAGAAAACTGTGCGCCTGGCTCTACTTTGCACGCAACTCGACCCCAAAAAACGACCTTATATGGCTGAAGCAGTCCTATTTCTTGAAGGAATTATTGGCTTGGAGAAAAGATGGGAGGAGTATCAACTTGAAGACGAATTACCTGGCCTAGATAATCTCTCAATTTCGAGCTACTCTTCTTCTTGTCCAAGTAAAGACGAATCATCTGGTCCTAGATGATCCTTCCAAGATCGTGTTGCTCGAGATTCACTCGTGAAATTGTGTCTGCCTCAGCTTGATCATTAATTCCAAATACCCTTGAATCTTTTTTTTGCTTAATTCGAGCGTTTCCTTTTATTTTGTCAGATTGATGACGTTCTTGTTATATTTTACTTTAAATCTAGATTGTTTTTATCAAAGGCCATCATATATTGGAATTAGCTTGACTCAGAAAATTCGATGTAAATTAGGATATCTTGTTGCCCGGACATGTTTTTTTTATTGGAATGTAATAGGCTAGGACATGAGTTCTTTACGTTCGGTCTAATCCTCTTCTGTTGCCAAATCATGGTCTACGAAAAGACTGAGAAGAAATAATTAAAGATCTTGAGACGGGCTTCGCCGCTACTTACTCTGTCTTCGCCGGGTAAGCACTAATTGAGTTCTCGGGTCGTGGCTTTAAAGAAGAAAGTTTTCAAGGTAAGTGGGGATTTTCACTCCTTCCAATTATGGTGGAGAGATAGTAAATTTGGATTAGGAATATTACCTGCTTAATTGTTGGGTTCGGGTTCATCCGTCTTACTCTGGATCTAAACCTTTTGATTTGATACTATATTGTTTTTTTATCTCACTTTTATTTAGAGTTAATATTACGAAAAACCTCAAACTGGTACACTTATGATAAATTTACCAAAAATTAATTTTCTTAACCACCCAAAAGTGGTACATCCGTGGTAAATTTACCCTAAACTAACCTTTTTTACCACCAAAAATTCAAAATTGGTACACCTGTGATAAATTTACAATTTATTTGTTTTCCGTTGAATTTTATAGTTAAATTGCTAATTTGGATAACATATGACAGTTGGTAGGTGTATCAGTTTGGAGTTTTACCACCCGCTTGTCACAGGTGTACCGATTTGTGATTTTTTTTGTATTAATCCAATTTAACGGATACTAATGGATGATAAATTTATCACAAATATACCGATTTTCGGTTTTTGGTAGTAAAAAATTAGTTTGGATAAATAGGTCTACCGATTTAGGATTTTTTGTGGTATTAATGATTTTTATTTATCCGTGTCTTTTTGTTCTCCATCTTCTCTCTCGTTTAGCCGCTTCTCTCTCATTCATGCGCACCTTCCTTACGCATCTTTTCATCTCCTGGCGAGTCTCTGGTGGCTCGAGCTGCGGCTTTATTTCCTACTTATCTTTCCCTCAGTCGCTTTTGCTTTTTCCAACTTTCTACGTGCATGTCGACGATAATCACGAAAATGATGTTTGTGATGAAAATGCTGGTGTGAAGTTGCAGCTGCAGATCATCAAGAAACCTCGAGCAGTCTCATCTGAAACCTAAAAATTAGAAAGTTAGGAAAGCCCAGACCAAAATCCCATAAGCCATTCGACACGTCCACTGGTTGGTTCATTGTTGCAGAAACAGTTGTCCAGGAGGCGATATGTCCCGCTTTGTCAAGAAATTTTGGCGCGAAGGGGAAAGGGAACCCTAAATCTGAGATGTCGAGATCAGAAATAGTTTATGAGACTGTGTCAAGATTATTCATTTAATCAGATCAAAATGTGGATTTTTCGGCAAAGGGTGGCGTCCTGATTCGCCACATCCATTTCGCAGGCATTTCATTCATAAACAGAAGACCAGGCAAAAGATTTCAGAGCGTGCATTGAGCATTTGCGTGGTGCGGATATGATCGTGTAAGTATCAACGCAGAGGGGCAGTGCTTTTGCCCAAAGAAAAAGGAAAAGAAACAGCGTGATGGTTCACTTGGTTTAGATATATTGATCCTTTGATGTCATTCCTGGGAATACGCCGTCTTTGAATTTGCTGCTCACCAGAAGAAAATGGCAAGGGCCCAAAAAATTGAGAAAGACAAGCTAAGAATTGCTAGTTTATGCTTTCCGTGCTCACCTACAAATACAACATTAATGTTCTCAATATCTACGTGACGGGTTGGAGTAATCTGAGCTCAATTTTCCTTGTAGGAGTCGAACCATGGTCTTCAAATTCGACACCATCGATCTCACTGAAGATCCTCCCAATTTTAACTAGGACTCCCGGCCGTATGCTTCTTTGTCATTGACTGTTTGCCTGCCATATATTCCTGGTTACAGTTTCAAGAAACCTGTAACATCCCACCGAGCCGCTGCCAGGGCTTCGCTGTGCCAGACAATTCAGGCTTCCAAATCTGGTTGTTCGTGTTGTAGGCCAAGTGAATCTCTCCAGTTTCCTGGTTCTGATCTGGAGCTTTGCCAAGGACGCCTTAGAAAGGTTTGCTTTCTGTGAGCTATAGGCTGCTACCGACCACTTCAGTGATGAAAAGATTGTGGGCAGGGGCGGGTTTGGTCGAGTATATGAAGGACTCTAGGCAGACGGCTCTAAAGTGGCCATAAAAAGAATTGCCAAGCGTTCCCATTTGGAGATGAGAGGGTTCCATACAGAAGTGAAATTGGGAAACATGCCCTCGCATTGGAACCCGGTCCCAGTTCTCGGCTTTTGCTCGTTGTCGGAACTGAAAGAGTACATGCTTGTGTATTCCTTCATGCCTAATAGAAGCTTGTCCTCGTTTCTAAGAGGGGACGGCCGTCTGTGAAGCTCCCACTTGATTGGCCCACCAGGAAGAAGATAGCTGTTGGAGCTGCGAGAAGGATTTCGCATTTGCACAATCACGGGGTAATCCATTGGGACATCAAGCCCCGTAAGATATTGCTGGGCAAGAACTTTGAGGCTCGTATTGGCAATTTCACGATGGCCATCTTCATGGACCAGGATGAAGAGAAGGGTGTTTTCAAGGAAACCAGCTTCTTTAGCCCCAGCTTTCTTAGCACCCAAATAGGCGGGACGGACGGTTGTCTTGATCCAGAGTACTCCAAGAGTGGAATGAGCTTGGTGAAGAGTGAAGTCTATAGTTTCGGCGTGACCCTTCTCCAACTCATCAGGGGTAGAAGTGCTCAAAGATAGATCAGTCCTCTGGGGCTGCTGCTACCTGAATGGGCAGGCGTGCTTTTCAAAGAGAAAGACTTGGAAAGGCTAGTCGATGGAGAAATACGGAGCGGTCACAAGGAAAGCAAAATCGAGAAAACGATCCAGCTAGCTCTACTTTGCACGCAACTCACCCGGAAAAAAGACTTAATATGTTGGTAGTAGTCCAAATTCTTGAAGGGGCTATTAACTTGGAGCAGAGATGGGACCAGTACCAAAACGATGTTATTCCGCCCAAAATTTTATATGGACATGGTGGACTTTGGTTCTTGTCTGTGTCACGATGACTTATCACTAACGCATCCCCGATAATCGTTCCGTGGAGTTGTTGTTCAGCTGAAAAATCACCGATGAGAGTCTCCTGATTCTGAGAATTACATTACTTCCATCGTAACCTGGACGTTGATCGTGCTGCTTTTATGCTTTTCTACTTTGTTTGCACAAAAAATTAACCAGGTCATGAGAATCGGCGTGAGCAAGCACGTGACTTGAGGTCGAGTCGCTATCAACACTGGACACGCATACTATTGTCAATGACCATAAGAGCCTTCGTGGATATTGATATACATCGATGGCCACGGACCAACGTGGATACACGATAGCACTGGTTGACGATTATCATGACATAATTAGTCGTCAAGGATACCGATTAAAAGGGATCAACAGATAGCCAATTGAGAAATAAAATGAAGATTGAATGTCTAGAGGACGCTAAACTCACTTGTGGTATACAAATTTTTTGAAATCGCTTGTGGATAGGACAATGAAGTTCAGCAGATTGTGGAGAAAGAACTTGAATGAAATTCAAAGTGGCTGCAAACAGGTGAGAATGATCAAAGCTCAGTTTTGAGAGAACAACCACCTGGAGATAAGATCATGGCAACGTGAGAACATGGAACCAAGATTCTTGAGATGTGGAAGCATAGCTAAAACTGCTGAAGAACTACTGCTTATAGGCATCAATTTTGTGAATACTATAAATACTAGTGTTTGTCTACTAAAGACCCCCAACATAACATACAAACAATTTGTTAACTTTTCAATTTCTGCATTGTAGTTATGCCTGTAATTCCAAGATATTTTGTTACCGATTAAATTCCGGTGTGTATCTTAATTGTTGTTCGATTAAATTTTGGCATTGCATCTTTATGTTCTTAAAGTTTTATCGTCAATTAAATTCTAGCAAAGTTTGTGTACTTTCTATTCTGTTTGAAGTGAAATTATCAGTTTCCTTGTATACCTATGATATTTCGTCACCACAGAACCTATCTCATCTCATAAAAAATCGAAGAACGACTTTCGGTGAAAGGGATTTCATCGCGAACGAAAATTCCGCCGAAACTGTCACACCCCGAAACCTACCAGAACGGCAGATGACACGGCCGTCCTTTCCCCCGAAGGACGCAGCCTAAACCCACAACCAAAGAACAAACTCCCAAAAGTTCCCACGACATCACTCTCGCTCTATTGGCTACTAACTAAGGAACTTGAAAAGATTGGGGAAAGGGAGGGGTGAGCAACTACAGCTCAGTAAGTAGTGTGTCTCTCTTCTAAGCAGATCGAGCAGTCACTATGCATATATATATAACAATATCGGAAGCTCATACTTCAATCCAAAGATATAATATATATATCAAATCAAATAAGAGTTGTTTCATTTCAACAAGACTTTATATAATTCAGAAAATACTCATTTAAATCAATAATATCAAAGCAAAAATCAATGGTCCATTCCATTGACCAAACTCGTCGAAAAACACACGCCAATGGTCCATTCCATTGGCCAATCTCATCGAAAACACATGCCAATGGTCCATTCCATTGGCTAATCTCATAAAAAACACATGCCAATGGTCCATTCTGTTGGCCAATCTCATGCTCATAAATCTAATTATGATCACAGATAACGCCCCATAAAAAGGCGACCAAGATTCCCCCTTAACAAGGTTTCCACTTATTATAAGTCAGCGGCTCGGCCCACAAGGATATCCTAGACTAGTATGCGCATACCCAAAACCTCTCATTGGGTTCATAGAGACACCGAGCATCAAAATCCACAATCTATATCACCAATTGATTTCACAAAACAAAACACGTAATCTTTCTCAACTTCATTTGTTAAATTGAACACATTTCACAAGACATCTCTCACATCATTTCAAAATTCTTCATAAATAGATATGCAAAACCTTTCGTAACGTTTTTCATAAAAAGTTTATCAAATCATTTAGAATTCATTCCATAAACTAGTTCGCAACATAATACGTATATTTCCGTTCACTATATATTTCTTAAAATCATTCTCAAATGAACAAGGAGTAGTAAATGCCCAATCTAGGCTTTTATGCAACAAACATGCTTTAATAACTCATACGATACTCAAATCCTTATCACTTTCAAAACATGAATTTATAAACTCAAAGAAAAGATAGCACCACATACTTGGAAATGCCTACAATCAAACAACAAAGATTATTCAAACCGTTGAACTCGCAATCCTATCAAATAAGCGAGAAACCACGTTAAAATCGAGTAAAACGCTACTTCAACTGCGACTTGGCTAAACAAGGCTTAGACGCTAACATAACGACTAAAAGGCTCCCACAAGTTGCTCGTCTAAAGTGATTATCCAAAACCGTCTACAACGCGGAGCTTGAGCGCGAAACTTGATTGCGCCATAATTTTCTCCACCGAACTGTTTACCACGCGCACTCAACTTCAAAAATTCATTTCGAGCAAACCGTAAGTCCAAATTGAGATCCGTAAAATCCCACCACACTAAACTATCATTTCCATATATATACGCAGCTCAAGGACTTAAAAATCTTACTACGCGGCTTTATTTCACAAAACTCCGAAATTATGTCCTAATTCCGAAAAATACTCCGATTGAACGAATGAGGGCCGCGAATAGTTATCGGGCGTTACAATACGAAGTCAAATCAGCTTGGCGAGACCCCGTGGTGCAAAACCCTCTTCTCTTTTCTCTTTTTTTCTTCTTCCTCTTTCCTTTCCTCTCTTTTCTTCTTTTCCTCTCCTCCCGTGAGAGCTCTCGGTCTTCTCTCTCTTCCTTTTTAAGGAGCTGAACGTGCCCCTTTGTTTTAAAGGGAAAATCGATGAGATAAGCTAGGATTCATGGACTAAATGCAAAAGTTCCCATGGTAATTCAGAACGACAATAGCTTTCATTAGAAATGCTGGTAGAGCAAGGTTTCCTCGTATGAAGTAACATAATTAGCCAAATTGATTCTTTCCCTGATTTGTAAGGCCTTGTGGAGCAATTTTCTGGGTTTATACTGAATAATATGTCTGTACTAGCTAGATGAATTGATCGGAATCAGTGCAAGAGAGACTTGATAATGAAATTTATGCGAGGTCAACGACTTGATTCGACAAGTCCAAGGAGCAAGGATTTGATTACGAAAAGAGCGCAACTTCAGGGACTAAAAGTAAAATTTTTACCTACCATTTTCGAGATGGAAGTCATACTGGTTTGGAACAAAGGAATGTGATTCATCACACCTCTTTTCCGGTTCTTCTTCTACCAGATGAAGGTTATTAGTACCTTTACTAGACCGGGCTTATAATTCACCTTAGTAGCAGCTGGTGTCGGTGTCAGCCGAGGAAACTGGATGAATTGCATTCAGACACAGCATAGAAAATCTAAACGTTGGACTGATTCTTCCAAGAAAGCTTGACTTATCAGGAGGGTAAACAGCTTAGGGGACTAGCGAAAGCGACGAAAACGACTATGATACCCCACAAAACGCGTCGATATCCACTAGGCTTTTTTTCATTATCTTTAATAAGTGCAGATGCGTGCACATCTGTAGGCATGACAGACAACCAAAATTGAGAAGTCTGAATATCCAGACTCAGCTCAGGCTCACCTCTGCAGCAAAAACTCTTCTTCCTTGCTCCTCCTGTTCCCTTTCGTGAAAAGACAAATTCGAACAATCCGAACGTAATTTCCGAGGAGTGTGGTGTTTCGTAAGAGTTAAGAACCATGGTCTTCAAGTTTTCAACCGTCGATCTCACCAAAGATCCTCCCGATTTCGATCCGCCTTCGCCGCCTGCTTCTCGGTCATCAACGATTTGTCTGCCGCTTAATCCTGCTAGCCGCAGTTTCATCAAAGGTACGACATCCCGCCAGGTAGCTGCCGGTGCTTCTCTGCGCTTGGCCAATTCAGCTTCCAAGTTTGGTTGCTGGAGGCCAAGCGAATCACTCCAATGTCCAGAGGCAGGACGCCTTAAAAGGTTCACTTTCCGCGAGCTGAAGGTCGCTACCAACAAGTTCAGTGAGACAAATAAGCTGGGTGAGGGTGGGTACGGTTGTGTGTACTATGGAGTCTTGGTGGACGGCTCCAGAGTGGCGATAAAAAGACTCACTAGACATACCTCTCAAAGATTGACACTGCGTGCTGAAGTAAAATTGGGGAACATGATATGGCATCGGAATCTGCTTCCGGTTCATGGCTTGTGTTCATCATCGAAACATGGAGACATGCTCGTGTACCCTTTCATGGTGAACGTAAGCCTAGGCATCAATTTAAGAGGACAGTCAACAGAGAAGCGCCCACTTGATTGGCCCATCAGGAAGAAGATAGCAATTGGAGCTGCGAGAGGGATTGCCCATTTGCATGATCTGAGGATAATTCACAGGGACATTAAACCCGACAATATACTGCTGGATGCGGATTTTGAGGCTCGTGTTGCAGATTTTGGGTTGGCCTTGTTCATGGACGATTACAAAGAGAAGGCTGTTTCCGAAGGAGAACCCAATGGTGAAGACGCTTATTTTACCGACTGCACAGCGGGAACACTTGGTTACATGGATCCAGAGCGCATTACCGGAAGATACTCAGTAAAGAGCGATGTTTATGGTTTCGGCGTGACACTTCTTGAACTCGTGAGCGGTCGAAGAGCTTGGAGAACAACCTGCCTCGATGGAAAGGAACTGGTGCTGCTTCGATGGGCACAAGCCCTTTTGAAAAACGAACAGTTGGAAAGGCTAGTCGATACCAATATGCTGGGCGGCTATAACGAGAGTGAAGTGGAGAAAACCATTCGCCTGGCTCTACTTTGCACGCAACTGGACCCCAAAAAACGACCTTATATGGCTGAAGCAGTCCTATTTCTTGAAGGAATTATTGGCTTGGAGAAAAGATGGGAGGAGTATCAACTTGAAGACGAATTATCTGGCCTAGATGATCTCTCAATTTTGAACGACTCTACTTCTTGTCCAAGTGAAGACAAATCATCTGGTCCTAGATGATCCTTCCTAGAACGTGTCGCTTGAGATTCGCCCTCGAGATTGCGGCTGCCTCAGCTTCAGCACTATACCGGATACCGTTGAATTTTTTTCGCTTAGTTCGAGTGTATTTACTCATTTCATTTTATTTAATTGACAATGTTCTTATTATGTTTTACCTTAAATCTGATTTCATTTTATTTTTATCAAAGCCTACCAGAACTTGAGAGGGCAAGTAGAATCAAATTATTGTGCTGTGCCGTCGGCCAACATTCCACACAGTGCTGTTTTATGCGCCACGGTTTATTTACACACAATTTTGATTAGATTAGATTAAATCAGTTAAGTAAAATTACCTGTTTGGTCGAACACAAAAATTGAGGAGCAATTTTTGCTGGGTTTTTAAATACTAAGATGACAATTTCTAGGATGGGACATAAGCATTATTCGGACACGGCAAGAAGTTAGTGGGTATGGATTTGTGCTAATCGGGCTTGTATGGTAATCGTGTTGACCCACTTTACATGATTGATAAGTAAATTGTGTTCACGTTCATCTCGTGTCACTGTTACTTTGACACAAAACGAACATCACCCACGAAGCGATATATCTAATTAGTATTGAACCTGAGGAATGTATTGGTGCTTGCAGATGAAGTCGTGGGTGCAATCCTAATTAAACATTCTATGAAAGTGGATTCTTCCGCGAAGGGTGGCGTCCTGATCCGCCAAATCCATTTCGCAGGCGTTTCATTCATAAACAGAAGACTTAGGCAAAAAGATCGCAGAGTGTGTGCTGAGCATTTGAGTGGTGCGGGTATGGTCGTGTAAGTCTCAACGCATGGGAACAAATTGCTGTTGCCCAAGGAAAGAGGAAAAGAAACCGCGTGATATGAGCAAATCATTTTCGACTTGGGTCAAACATATTGATTCTTTGATGTCATTCCTGGGAAGTCTTCTTCAGAAATGCGGCCCACCAGAAGAAAATGTGCAGGGCCCGAGAAAGACAGGTTAAGAATTGCTAATTTAAGCTTTACGTGCTAACCTACAAAAACAATATTAAAGTTCTCGTTATCTACGTGACGCATTTGAGTGATCTGAGTTTCAATTTTCCTTCTAGGAGTCTAGAAGCGGAACCATGGTCTTCGTATTTGCCACGGTCGATCTCACTGAAGATCCTCCCAATGTTGATTCGGACTCTCTGCCTGCTTCTCGATCATCAGCGGTTTGCTTGCCATATACTCCCGGCTGCAGTTTCAAGAAACCGATAACATCCTGCCAGGCCGTTACCGGGGCTTTGCTGCGCCAGACAATTCAGTCTTCCGAATCTGGTTTTTTCATGTTGTAGGCCAAGTGAATCTCTCTAGTTTCCAGGTTCTGATCTGGAGGTTCGCCAAGGACGCCTTAAAAGGAAGGTTCGCTTTCCGTGAGCTACAGGCAACTACCAACCACTTCAGTGATGAAAAGATTGTGGCTAGGGGCGGGTTTGGTCATGTATATGAAGGACTCGGCAGACGGCTCTCGAGTGGCCCATAAAAAGAATCACCAAGCATTCCCATCTCTGCATGATCATGGCATAATTCGTCGGTACATTAAGCCCCAGAACATCCTGCTGGGGGAGAACTTTGAGGTTTGTATTGTCGATTTTGGGATGGCCATCTTCATGGACAACGATGAAGAGAAGGGTGTTTCCAGGTAAACCAGCTTCTTTAGCCTCAGCTTTCTTCACAGGCAAATAGGCAGGACGTGCAGTTATCTTGATCTGGAGTACTCCGAGAGTGGAATGTGCTCGGTGAAGAGTGATGTCCATAGTTCTGGCGTGACCCTTCTCGAACTCGCCATCGGTTGATGTGCTCAAAGAAGGATCAGTCCTCCGGGGCTGCTGCTACCTGAATGGGCAGGCATGCTTGTCGAAGATAAAGAGATGGAAAGGCTAGTCGATGCTGACATACGGAACGGGTATAAGGAAAGCGAAGTCAAGAGAATGATCCAGCTAGCTCTAGTTTGTGTGCAAATCGACCCCAAAAGACGACCTGATATGACGGAAGTAGTCCAAATTCTGGAAGGGGCTATTAGCTTGGAGAAGAGATGGGAGGAGTACCAAAATGGACATGGCGGACTCTGGTTCTTGTCTCCGCCACGAAGACTTATCAATAACACATCCTAGATAATCATTCCCTGGAGTTGTTGCTGAGTTGAAAAATCGGCGATGAGAGTGTCCTGATTCCAAGAGTTACGTGACTTCTGGTGTAACCTGGATGATGATTGTGCTGCTTTTATGCTTATTTGCTTATGTTCATTTGACTCTTAGGTTGTTATATAGTGAGACTTCATCCAACACCCACTCCGTTAATTCGCCGGCTGCAAAAACATGTTCAATCATTCATGAATCTCCAAGATGTAGTTCCACTATTGTTTCTAAAAGGCATCCTGTTAGGCTAGATTGAACTGAAGTAAAAAATAAATAAGAAAATAACGTTTGAAGGGAAAATCGATGAGATAAGCTAGGATTCATGGACTAAATGCAAAAGTTCCCATGGTAATTCAGAACGACTATAGCTTTCATTAGAGATGCAGGTGGTGGTAGGCTTCCTCATATCAAGGTTATAATTAGTTCCATTTGATTCCTTCTTTGATTTGGAAGGGCTTAAGGGAAAATTTTCTGGGTGTATACAGAATAATATGTCTGTACAGAACCGGTGCAAGAGAGACTTGATAAGGAAATCTATGCATGTAAGGACCCGGGGTCTACACTGTGTAATATTGTTCGCTTTGGGCCCACTGACCCTCACGGCTTTAAAACGCGTTACACAGAATAAAGAACCCAAACCTTATAAACTAGCCCAGGACTCCCCCCCTAAGCGATGTGGGACAAGAGACATGCCCCCCTTGCCATCCTAGAAGCCGCTCCTTGTCCAGGCCCTCTGGCCCCGGCGACCACTCCCCGCCCTTGTCGAACTGGGTCGTTACATTCTCCCCTCCTTCGAGCACAGCGTCCTCGCTGTGGCCCCACACGCGGTCGGGAGTCGGCTCTGATACCATTTGTAAGGACCCGAGGTTTACACTGTGTAATATTGTCCGCTTTAGGCTCATTGGCTCTCACGGCTTTAAAACGCGTTACACAGAATAGAGAACCCAAGCCTTATAAACTAGCCCAGGACTCCCCCCTAAGCGATGTGGGACAAGAGACATGCCCCCCCTTGCCATCCTAGAAGCCTGCCAGGAGCCGCTCCTTGTCCAGGCCCTCTGGCCCCGGCGACCACTCCCCGCCCTCGTCGAACTGGGTCGTTACATTATCGGTGGGTCTGGCCTGTGGGCTTGCGCCCTAAAGAGGACAATATTGGGCTTGGAAGAGGAAGGGCTAGAGAGCACCTCTGCCCAAGACAACGCGTTTCATACAAGCTTCCGCTGTGCTGAGAACAAAGCCTTGAGGGGTGGGTCTGGCCTGTGGGCTTGCGCCCCAAAGAGGACAATATTGGGCTTGGGAGAGGAAGGGCCTGAAAGCGCCTCTGCCCAAGACAACGCGTTTCACACAAGCTTCCGCTGTGCTGAGAACAAAGCCTTGAGGAGTGGGTCTGGCCTGTTGGCTTGCGCCCCAAAGAGGACAATATTGGGCTTGGGAGAGGAAGGGCCAGAGAGCGTCTCTGCCCAAGATAACGCGTTTTAAAGTCGTGAGGATCAGTGGGCCCAAAGCGGACAATATTACACAGTGTAGACCCCGGGTCCTTACAATGCAAGTTCAATTACTCAGTTTAGACAAGTCAAACGTACAAGGACTTGATTGGAAAAAGAGCATAACTTCAGGGACTAAAAGTAAAATTTTTACCTTTCGTTTTCGAGATGCAAGTCCTTGGTTGGCATTTCTCATGGAACAAAGGACTGTTTTTCATTACACGACAGATAAAGGTTATTAGTACCTTTGTTGCCCGGGCTTATAATTCACCTTAATAACGGCTGGTGTCGGTGTCAGCCCAAAAGAACTGACTGAACTGCATTCAGAAATTCTAAATGTTGGACTAATTTTTCTAACAAAGATCAACGTACCAAGACGGGAGAAGCGAAAGCGACAAGGGTGACTGACTCGTAGGAGTCATTGCTTGGTGGGACATAACATGCATTATCAACATCGACGATACGATACTCCACAGTGATTGTATTGGCTTGGTAAGTATGGACAACCAAACTAGTTAAGTCTGAATAAGCAGACTCAGCTCAGGCTCACCTCTGCAGCAGAAAACTCTCCTTCCTTCCTTCTTCGGTTCCAGTTCACGAAAAAAGAAAAATTTTGAGTAATCCGAGCTTGGATTCCGAGGAGTGTGGTGTTTTAGAAGAGATAAAAACTATGGTCTTCAAGTTTTCAACCTTCGACCTCACCGAAGATCCCCCTAATTTCGATCTGCATTCGCCACCTGCTTCTCAGTCGTCAACAATTTGTCTGCCGCTCAATCCTGCTGGCTGCAGTTTCATCAAAGCTATAACACCCCGCCAGGTCGCTGCCAGTGCTTCTCTGTGCTTGGTCAATTCAGCTTCCAGGTTTTGTTGCTGGAGGCCAAGAGAATCAGTCCAATGTCCAGTGGAAGGACGCCTTCAAAGGTTCGATTTCGAAGAGCTGAAGGTCGCTACCAACAACTTCAGTGAGACAAAGAAGGTGGGTAAGGGTGGGTACGGTTGTGTGTACGAAGGACTCTTGGGGGACGGCTCCAGAGTGGCAATAAAAAGACTCGGTAGTGGTACCTCTCAGGCATGGACACTCCATGCTGAAGTAAAATTGGGGAACATGATCTGTCATCGGAATCTGGTTCGGGTTCAAGGCTTTTGTTTGTCGTCAAAGCATGGAGAATACATGCTCGTGTACAATTTCATGGCGAACGGAAGTCTGGACTCACTTTTAAGAGGACCGCTCCCACTTGATTGGCCCACCAGGAAGAAGATAGCGATTGGAGCTGCTAGAGGGCTCTCCCATTTCCATGATCTGAGGATGATTCACAGGGACATTAAACCCGATAATATACTGTTGGATGAGGACTTTGAGGCTCATGTTGCATATTGTGGGATGGCCTTGTTCATGGACGAGTACATAGGGAAGGCTGTTTCCAAAGGAGAACCCAATGGTGAAGACGCTAATTTTACCGACTGCCCAATGGGGACGCTTTATTACATCGATCCAGAGCGCTTTACAGGAAGAAACTCAGTAAAGAGCCATGTTTATGGGTTCGGCGTGATGCTTCTTGAACTCATAAGCGGTCGAAGAGCTTGGGAAACAACCTGCCTCGATGAAAATGAACTGGGGTTATGTGCATGGGCACATGCCCTTTCAGAAAACGAACAGTTGGGAAGGCTAGTCCATACCAATATGCCGGGCGGCTATAACGAGAGTGAAGTCAAGAGAACCGTTCACCTGGCTCTACTTTGCACGCAGCTCGACCCCAAAAAACGATCTTATATGGCTGAAGCAGTCCTATTTCTTGAAGGAATTATTGGCTTGGAGAAAAGATGGGAGGAGTATCAAACTGATGCCACTAGGGCTTTTTGACTTTTCAAACTTTTTCTTCTCTTTTCTTTTCCTTTTTCCCTTTGACTTTTTGACCTTTAAAACTCATACTTTACACTAGGGCTTCTGGTAGAGCGTAGTTTGGAAATTCTAGTGGATCCTGACCTGCAGGGCGAGTTTGACCAGGAGGAGATGGAGAAAGTGATCCAACTGGCTCTTTTGTGCACACAAACTGTACCAAGAAGACGACCATCCATGGCACAAGTGGTCCGAATACTCGAAGGCCATAGCATCGAGGAGAGATGGGAGGAGTATCGTTATTGGAAGGGGTATCAGAGTTACTTGGAGTGTCTGAGTTACTTGGGACAATTCCGAAGCCATGAATGTATTCTAGACGACTCCTCTTCGCTACTCAGTCCTGAAGAATTGTCCGGACCCAGATAATCTAGTTGACATATCAATCCGATCCGTTCTTCGTGGATCAATCCCTCAAATAGATAACTCTGAGTGATGAGGGTGGATGTTAACTTATGTAATTGTAATATTTGCTTGGTCAGATATAGGGTGCACTCTCATTATAAGTGGACTCTCATTATAAAGTGAAAAGGAGAGCACGCGGAAAAGAAAGAAGGAGAAAAGGAAAAGAAAAAAGAGGGAAAGAATAAGAAAGAAAAAAGAAAAGAGAAAGGAGTACCTGCTTCGAAAATCTCATCAAGCCGAATCAACTTCGTTTCGCAACGCTTGGTAAGGATTCAAGCCCTTTGTTCATCTAATCAGAGTAATTTTCAGATTTAGGGTATAATTTCGAAGTTATGTGAGTTCTGAATTGCGGGATCCAATTTTGGAGTTGTTAAGCTGAGGAATTTTTATGGAAATGATAGTTTGGGGTATTATGGAGCTATGTGGTTTGATGGAAATCGATTTGAGTTATGGTTTAGTCGGAGCAAAATTTTAAAGTTTTGCGATCAAGCTACACGTAGTAGACAATTTTGAATATTTACTTTGAGCGATCGTTTTGTTGGGGAGTTGTTTTCTCCGGGATTAAGTTTAGTTTAGTTGATTCGTAATTGAGGTAGCGTTTTCTTGCTTTTGATGATGTTTCTCACTTATTCAATAAGATTACGAATTCATCGACTTAAGTAACCTTTGTTGTTTGGTTTTAGGCTTCCTCTGGTGAGTGATGCTTATCTCTCCTTTGAGTTTGTAAATTTATATTTTGAAAGTAATATGGATTAGATATATTATGAGTTATGAATGACATTTGTGTTGTATAAAATCTGAATCGGGTATTTAATACTTTTTGTTTATTTACACATCCAACAAATAAAAAATTCAAAGATGACATTGTAGATTGAGCTAAAGTTCTAGGGCTATTTATGTTATGGTCATATATATTTATGGGCCGCGCTTTTTTCTCTCCTCTTTTAGCTTAGACATTCTTTTTTTTGTATTTTGACGATAGTATCCCTTGTGGGGCCAGGAATACAGCTCTACAAAAGTGATCCTCTTTTTATTATTTGGTCAACTTTTTTTATTTTGTTTCTTCTTTTATTTCTTGCGCCTTCTTCTTTCTTTCTTTCTACACCTTTGATGTCTCAATTCTCTGCATTTGCAAATCGTCTCTTTGTTCTCTCTTATAGGCTATTCTCTTCTTTTTAAGCCTCCCGCTCCTCCTCCTCCTCCTCCTTCTTCTTCTTCCATACACCCCGCCGTCTTCTGTTTTCTATCTATGATGCTAACCTCGTCATCCTCCACACTTTTAATTGAAAAGAAGCATTGGTTTTCTCTACCAGAAAATGGGGAAAACAGAATTAGAGAAAAAAACAATAACCCAATAAAAACATGATTTTCAATTATAATCAGAATTGGGCGATCAACTACAAAATTGATTAATTCTAAGCAATCACTTTAGTAAAATTAGTTTTGTTGAAAGAAAATTTTCTAAGAAACCTAATTCTTTTCTGCGTTATCAAGTAAAATCTACACTTCTTTAAAAAGATCACTTATTTATAAACTTTCACTTTTGTTGTGTATATCACCATCACTTGTTTACTCAACAAAACTTATTTCTACGGAAGTAAAATCCAAAAATAAAAAGGAAATATATATACGGATTACCCACAACAAACAAAAAAAAAATGAATTGCTTAATTATGATAACTAAATCCTAAATAGAAAATGTAAATAAAATAGAATAAGGAAAGCAAATTGATTGGGGCCACACTTTAAATTGTAATTGAATCATTGAGGATAAATTTATCTTTTCAATGGAAAATGGAGTGAATTAGTCGTATATGGGGTGGAAATAGCGCCGCCCATATTTATTCAGACTTTATAAAAACTATAAGAATTGGGCTTGTGAAGAAAACAAAATAACAACCCAGCACAAATGTCCCGTAAGCCCAACTAATCCGAAAGCCCATAAGGCTATTTCTTTATAAGCCTTTAGTTCTTTTCCTTCCGCTAGTTTTAAATGCCCGCGGGGGGTCGGGGTGGTGCGGAATCGGAAACCAAAGAAGAAAAGAACTAAGATAGAGAGACAAGGAGGAGAGAGACCATAGACAAAAAGAGGGAAAGTATTGCACTTTTGTCAGTTCAATCCTAAACCTTTCGACTTTACCAATTGAATCTTAAATATTTTTACTATTTGCCAATTAAATCCATTTGGCCAATTTTGGCCGAAAATCTCTAACGTGAACACCGACTGGCCACGTGACACTGATATGGACATTTTAAAATAAATATTTTAATAATTTTATCAAATTTTTTTATGGTTTTTTCTTTATTTTTTCCTTTTCTCCCTTTTTTTTTTTTGAGTTAGGGTCAACGAGGGCCACGCCCTCGTCGGATCTAGCTAGGGGAGGGCTTGGTAGCAGGTGAGGGTGAGGGCATCCCGGACCTTGCCTGTGGCCGGTGAGGGTCGGTCGGCCACCCTCATCGGCCCCAACTCCAAGATAAAAAAAAAATAGAGAAAAGGAAAAAAACACCATAAAAAATTATTAAAATTATTAAAATATTATTTAAAAATGTCCACGCTAGCGATTTCTAGCCAAAATTAGCCGGATGGACTCAATTGGCAAGAAGTGAAAAAGATTTAGGTATCAATTGGCAAAGTTGAAAGGTTTAGGACTGAATTGGTAAAAGTGCAATAGGTTTAAGACTTTTTGGACAATTTTCCGACGAAAGAAGGGAAGGGAAAAGAAGGAAACCGAACACTACATGCATGCTTGAAACGTCGCGACAACCCAAATTAACTCTATTTAGTAGTGCCTAGCAAGGATTCGAACCCTTCATTTATTTAATCAAAGGAGTTTTCGTAGTTAAGTAGTAATTTCGGATTAATTTGAATTTTGAGTTGTTGGGTTCGTTCTAATACTTCTTAAGCTGTTAATTTATGTTGTGAAGAAACTTTAGGGTGTTTGGAGTTGCGAGATTTTACGAAAGTTGATTTGGAGTTACGGTTTGGTCATAATGAATTTTTAAAGTTTCACACTCGCTACTGTCCACTTACAAATTGCTATGTTTGGAAATAGTTTTCGCCTGGCTTCGGCCATCAATTAAGTCGACAAAGTTTAGGATCTTTTAGTACTTCGAAAGAGCTTTCATTTAACAGTAATTTGCTTGAATTGGAGTTTGGTAGAAAGAAATACGATGCAACAAAGTTCGTTGCACGAGCGTAAATATACTGTTCGTCATGTGGGTGACTATTTTGTAGTGCGAGTGGCTGTTCTTGAGGTCCTTTGTTGACCCACAGTGAAAGATTCGACTCCAAAAATAGCGCCTAGTTGAGTCTTAGTCGAAGTTAGCTGGCGTGTAAATTTGACTTTCGGTTAATGCTTCTTTGATAGGATTTCAAGTTCGTTGGATTGAGTAGCTTAAGTTGTTTGGTTTTGCAACCTTGGTGAGTAGTACCTATCTCTTTTTGGAATTTATAAACTCATGACTTGAAAGTAATTGAGATTCGGTTTATTATGAATTACGAAGCAGAGTTTTTATTGCATAAAAATCTGGATCGAGTATTTACTACTTTTTGGTTATTTGTAAAAAGTTTGAGAAGCGTTTTATGAGAGGTATCGTGAAAGGTTATATGTGTTGCTTTGCAAATCTGATTTATGAAATGAATTTTGAAATGAATTGAAAAACGCTTTACGAAAGGTATTCTGACTGACGAACTGAGTTGTGAAATAATATATGTTTTGATTTGTGAAATCGATTTATGATATGAATTTTATGGATAATTGGAAGATGATGATAGTGGTTTGATGCTCATTGTTGTTATGAACCAGGGTTTGTAGGTACGCATACTGTTCGGATATCTTGTGGGTCAAGCCACTAGCAATATATGCGGAGACTTAGCTAAGAGGGGAAACTTGATCGCCTTTGTCACGGAGTGTTAAACGTGACCATATATGGATATTGAATATTAGATGGAGTGGACCATTAACGTACGATTTGATGAAATTGATCAATGGACTGGTCCATTGATTTTAACTTTGATATTATAGACTGGGCAAGGCAGCCTCACCCGCGTTGGCTTCGTCCAAATCTAGGCGAGGCTGGGGAGGGCCCGGCGGCCCTCCCTGGCCACATTCCCCAGCCACATTAAAAAAAAAAAAAAGAAGGACAAGAGAAAAAAAAGAAGAAGGAAAAACGGAAAAAGAAAAGAAAAAAAATCAAAAAAATTCGAAAAAAATATTAAAATATTATTAAAATTATTCACGCCAATGCCAGTTGTGCCACACAGTATGGCTGACTGACGTCCATGTTAGTGAATTCCAGCCATTAATTGACCAAATGGACTCAATTGGCAAATTGTCAAAATGTTTAGGATTCAATTATCAAAATTGAAAGGTTTATGATTGAATTGATAAAACTGCAATAGGTTTAAGACGTTTTGGACAATTTTTCCGACCAATGCAACTAGACATCATATTAGGCTCTTGGGCAGAGCTATTCGGGCAGATCAATTTACCCCTCCTCTTGCTTTCGCTTCCTTTCAAAAATCCGCTGTTTCTCTGTTCCTGCCAATGTCATTTCTAAAGATTAAGAATAAAGAGTGAGGAGACCCGGATGAGAATGCACGTCGTAGGGGAGACTTTAGCTGCACTCGTCATTCCGTTTGTGTGCACGATTTCGCTTCGACCTGAAGTTAGCCTTCTCATCCAGAACGGAATGGATTACGGCATGTATTATTCCGAAACGGGTGGCTAAGAACAGCTTCCTGTCTCGAGCCGTTCTCTCTGTTTCGAAGCTTCCATTCACGGCAAGAAAGGGGCCATATTGATAGGAAAGTGGCGTCCGTGTACTCAGCGCGGGAACAGCTGACGCGCACCAAAGGAAAAGCCATTCACACTGCCGATCGGTTCCTTTCTGGATGAGAAGTTACGCTCTCTTCTTACGGAGTGATTTTTCACAGATGCCTCCAGGAAGTAGCGATAGCAGCTTCCTCTGCAGTCACTTGACCTCGCAAAAGGGAAAATTTAAGTCTTAAAAGCTTCTGTGAAACATCTGACGCCCACCTGAAGGGGAGATCAACAGTCTATACGTGCATATTATTCTATTTGATTGTAGTACCAGTGATAGAGCAAAAGTCGGAGAGATGATCATTAAATTTGCCACCGCCCAAACAAGCAGAAGAAAATTATTTTTGACATATCTCTCTCTCTCTCTCTCAGAGCGTTGAGGAAAACTGTCAGACTACAGCATGAATAAAACGAGGAGGATTATTAATAGTGTTAGGACTTGCATCAGGGTCCTAAAAGCTTGAGATGGCCAAGAGGGAGATATTATGTTGGACTCACCTTTACTTAATCGTATAAGTCAATGAATTATAGGCCAACTAAAATTATTGACTACTCCATATCACATCGATTTTCTGACATGTGATTTCTTTAACACTACTCACATATGTATTTAAACAACAAGGTTGAATTGATCGAGATACAGATTAGAGTAGGGATGAAAAGAAGTATGTAGATGGGCTGAGTCCTGGCGAGCGAAAAGCGGAAAAATCGAAATTAGATGTGATTGTGGAGAGATATCAATTGCATTGACGATTCTTGCAGCACCGTGTGGACACTGGTCACAACGTGCCATGCCCCACTCGACCGGAGCAAGTTCAGTAATCTGCTCTTGGTGTGAATTCAATTAGAGTCCCTAAAAAAGCCAAACGGAGTGCTTCTTAGATGCTGCACTACAGTTTCTTCCATGTTGTATTCGCCACCATCACTCTTACTGAAGATTCCTCGAACCTCCTTCCACGACATCACCATCAGCCTGTTGTCAATAGCGTGATCGCCGTTGCACAAAGGAGATAGCCATCGTCTGGTTTCCAGTCAGTGCTTCTCTCATTTTAACGACCCCAAGTGCAAAGGGAATGCAACAGACGAGGGGAAGAATGAACGGAAGTGGATATTGCGGGTGAATTCGAAAGTTTCTGATAAGACGAGTTCAAAAAAAGTTTTTCAAACACATGCAAAAAGAATTAGTTATCTTTTGTCATGGAAAAAAAATAATCGGAACGCTAATTCCACCAAGTAACTTTCATTGTGGAAGATGATACACTCGCAGGTTTCATCTTATCGGTTCCTAATTAAAGTATTTCTTGGCCCAAAAAAATAAACATTATACATAAACTGACAGATCTTTATCTTAAATTGGCTCCGAAAAAGGTGAATACCTTTACACCAGATGCTACGGTGAGCTCCAGTAGATCCTGGAATTATGGTATTACCGAAATGCATCTTTCAAGATCGAGAAGTACTAATATTCATATCGTAGCAGTGGGAGGTGGGTCGCGTAGGTTTATCTTGATTTTTAAATATTTCTACTCGCGACATGAACCGGAAAGAGCCCCACACGGAAGTATTGACTTGGAGTTGTGTATGTTGGGATTTGCTTCATGGAGCCAAGATCTATGCTTTGCTTCCGCTCGCACCAGGAACCTGAGTCAGCAGCTTCTAGATTGATGATGACACTTGTGATTACTGATTGGTATGGTTGTGGGATCCAAGCATCTGTTGGACCATTTTTCTTAGCAATGAAGCAGAATTTAACGAGGAGAGGGGCCTTTTGTGCTTGGAAAGAGGCAATTACCGTGTGGGCACACACTTTGCAGGGGACTCCTAATAAGTTAATGATAAAAGTATTTTCTGGACTCCTATTTAATTAATATAATAAAAAACCATTCACACTGCCTCTTGGAAGCTGCCGCGGCAGTTTCCTCTGCAGCTTCCTCTGTGAAGCACTTTTAAGTTGGCTCTTGAAACTTCTATAAAACAGCTCTCACCCACAAGAAGAAGGGGCACAGCGATCCCTCACAGCACACATTTTTTTTGCTAAGTTCATTACAAAGCAACTCGGGTTTGGGTTCCAGAGATAAGGGAAAAGGAAGGAAAATGGTGTTCAAATTTGCCACCTTCGATCCCGCCCAGGATCCCAATGATTTCAACCCCGCTTTTCCACCTACTCCATCATCATCACCCTCAGCAACATTCTGTCAGCCATGCGAATACACCTGCACTTTCACCAGAGCCATTGTCAGCCGACTTGTTGCTGCCGGTGCTTCTCTTGTCTTAAGAGGCCCAGCTTTTGAAATTGATGGTCATGAGATTCGAGACCGATCCGCAGAGACGCTATTGCATAGGATCAATACTGATGTCTGTCCAGAATTTCACCAAAGACAGCTTAAAGAGTTCACTCTGAAGGAGTTGAAGGTGGCTACCGATAATTTTAGCCACAAAAACATTTTAGGCAGAGGTGGATTTGGCAAAGTTTATAAGGGTCGGTTAGCTGATGGCACTCTAGTAGCAGTCAAAAGATCGAAAGAAGAACAAACTCAAGGTATGCTCTTAGAGTTCGAAAAAGAAGTAATTATCGGTAGTATCGAACTCCCACATCACAATCTGCTTCCTGTGCTCGGATATTGCAGTGCCCCAGAGTTTTTGCTCGTCTACCCATTCATGATCAATAGATGTCTGGCATCATGCTTGAGAGAGCGAAATGATAATCAACCCCCGCTGGACTGGCCTACCCGCAGAAAAATAGCCACGGGAGCTGCGAGAGGGCTGTCCCATCTGCATGATCTGAACATAGTGCACCGAGATATGCATGATCTGAACATAGTGCACCGAGATATCAAAGCTGCAAACATTCTGTTGGATGAGGAATTTGAGCCTCACATTGGAGACTTTGGGTTGGCCTTGTTCGTCGATCGCAGGCAAGGTGGACACTCTGTGGATTGCATCGAGGAGGCGCCCGTACTTCCGAGGGACATATCCAAAGCAAGATCCGACAGTGAATATTCTTACGTCACAACAGCGGTACATGGCACAATAGGACATATTGCACCGGAGTATCTCAGTACCGGGAAATGCTCGGTGAAGAACGACGTCTTTGGTTTTGGGGTAATGCTTCTGGAACTCTTGACCGAACAAAGAGCTTTTGATCCTGCAAGGTTTGCAAATGACGACGATGTGATGTTGCACGATTGGGTACTCAGGCTTCTGGTAGAGCGTAGGTGGGAAATTCTAGTCGGTCCCGATCTGCAGGGTGCATATGACGAGGAGGAGATAGAGAAAGTGATCCAGCTGGCTCTTCTTTGCACACAATCAGATCCAAGGAAACGACCATCCATGGCACAAGTTCTCCAAATACTCGAAGGCCATAGCATCGAGGAGGAGAGATGGAACGAGTATCAGCTTGAATCGAGTTTTCGGGACCGGAAGCAGGATTTCGACAATCCACACACAGACTGGATTGTGGCGGACTCCACTTCGCATCTCCGACCTGATGAATTATCTGGACCCAGATAATCTAATTGTTAAGATAACAACCTGGCCCATTCTAAGTCGAGCAAGCTCCCAAAACGAGTGCTCTGAGTGGTTCAAGGTGAAGGTTAACTCATATAGGTATCCCAGCCGATGCGGGATTTAAGATGTCATAGTTTATGTGTAGCTGAGCTAAAGATCACCAGTGACAAGAAAAATGTAATCACTTGTAATGAGGAGAAATTATTACCAACAAGGACATAATCTATCTGCCCGAGTTACGAGACTCCACAAATTTTATTATTTTCAATATATTTATTCTGACTTCGTGAAAACCTCACCATAGTGAGGATGCTTTACAGTACTATTATTTCCTTGATCAACGATGTCCCAACCTAAATCCACGTAAGAAAAAGGGAGTGACGCTAGGGGTGACCGGTTCCGGTGGATCGGTTCACACCCTCAATCCAGGCATTAGACCGGTCTCAATTTGTGGAACCGGGAAGTGCTTAATTTTTTTTTCAATTCCTTGCAGCCGCTCAGAGAGTTCGACAGAGAGGAAGAAAGAGTCTCTCATCTCTAGGTCTAGCAACAGAGTGTGACCTCGCAAAGACAAAAAAACGAAGACGGACGAGGTTTTCATACCGGATGAGGCGGTAGACGTCGACGAGGGACGGTGGCGGCGCCGCGGAGCTCCACGCAGGCGACCAGCACGAACACGAGGGCGATGATCGAATACCTGGACTCGAGTACCTGGCGGTCCCCGTGCTTCTTCGTCGCCATGTGATCGGGGGAAGGATCTAATGTTCTTGGCGTGAACGACTGGAGAGAGAGAGATAGGGGGGACCTGTGTCAACGGAATTACGAGGATGCCCGTGACAATGAAGGAGGTGATTGGTCGAAATTGCCCCCGGGGATTTTTCCCTGTTCTCACTTGGGATTGGAATCCATCGTTGGTTTCATGTCATTTTGCTAGGGGCTTCGGTCTTTGGGTAATAATAAGAATTATAAAATAAATAAATAAAATTGGCCCAATCCGAGTGATTTGGATGGGACGGTTTCACACCTAGAACCGAGGAACCGGACTGATATTCACTGGTTCCAATTGTATGGAGCAGAAAACTGCCCACAATCGGCCAATTTGATCCGGTTTGGGCGATTTCTTTTGCTCATCCCTAAATAGCATGGCCATCCATAGTTTCAGAATAAACATACCTAACAAAGGCCAACAAAAGCTTATCACAAGGTCTCAGAGTACAAAATCTACACAAAAGTATGTCCCCAAACTTTCTATCACCATTAAAAAAACAACATAAAACTACTATAACAAAAATATGTACATCTTAGCCAATAAAATACCATAAGAATACGGCCGAAACGTCCCCATGTCGAAGCGCTCCTCCTTAGCGTCACCCGGTACGGAACATGAAATGTCGAAGGAAAGGAGTGAACGAACCACAACTCAATAAGTGATGGTCATCTCATTGTGAGATCAAACACCGATTATGCACATTTCATAAACATCACTTTCGCTGGAAAACATTTAACAAAGTTTATAGAGCAAAAACAGTACATTTGTAACAATAAGTCCAAATATTTCTTGACAACATATCATTTTAAAATTGATGTCAATGGTGAAGTCCATTGACTAATTTCTCGCCCCATGTCATATACTAGGGACACGTTTATCCTCGTGGCAAGTCTCGCAACCAATTCACCCATAATGAGATAAAGAATCACTAATTTAGTTATGGTTTACTCGCTCCTTTTTTTTAAAAACATTTCAAGTTCCTTACCCCGTGATACTTAGGAGGAGCACTTCAACATGAGGATTTTTTGGCCTATTCTTTTGGTATTAGTCATTAGCCAAGATGTACATGTTTTTGGTATACTTGTTTGGTTTTTTGGGGGGAGATAGCTGATATGGGACATACTTTTGTGTTATGAGACCTTGTGATCAGCTTTTGTTGGCCTTTTGTATATGTATGATCACTCTAAGGCTTCGTCCTTCTCTCGATCCACGGCCTTGTAAGCCTTTTTTTTTTTGTGTGGATTTTGGGTGTGACATCGTCTACTATAGATGACAACAGTATTGTACAGCACCCTCACCATGGTGAGGTTCTCATAAAGTCAAAATAAATATATTGAAAAGCAACAGACTTTTGGAGTCTCGCGGCCTAGGCAAGCAGGTTTTGTCCTTGCTGGTAACAATTTCTCCTCATTATAAGCATAAGTGTATCTTTGGCTTAGTTGCATATCAATTATGACATCTAAAGTCCCATGACGGTTGAGAGAAGCTTGTTGTGTGATAAATAAGTTAATATATCACTCTGTTTGAGAGCTTGGTTCGCGTAAAACGGTCGGGTTGTTGAATCAACAAATGATTATTTGGGTCCTGATAATTCTTCAGGACAAAGTAGCGAAGAGGAGTCATTCACAATCCAATCAACGGTTTGTAAAGGCCACAACTGATGTTGATACTCCTGCCATCTCTTCTCGATGCTTTGGCCTTCGAGAATTCAAACTACTTGCGCCATGGATGGTCGTTCTCTTGGGACCGATTGTGTGGAGATTGTGCACAAAAGAGCAAACTGGATCACTTTCCCTATCTCCTCCTTGTCATATGCACCCTGTAGATCGGGATCGACTAGAATTTCCCCTACGCTCTTCCAGAAGCCCTATTACCCAATCGAGTAACATCATCTATTCGTTATTTGCATGCCTTGCGAGATCAAAAGCTCTTTGTCCGGTCAAGAGTTCCAGAAGCATTTATCCCAAAAGCAACGACATCAGTCTTCACCGAGCATTTCCCGGTACTAAGATACTCTAGCGCAATCTGTCCTATTGTGCCACGTACCGCCGTCGTGACATCAGAAAATTCATTTCCGGATTCTGCTTTGGATTCGTTCCTCGGAAGTACGGGTGCCTCCTCGATGCAATCCACAAAGTATCAACCGTGACTGCGATTGACGAACAAGGCCAACCCAAAGTCTCCAATGTGAGGCTCAAATTCCTCATCCAACATAATGTTTGCAGCTTTGATATCTCGGTGCAATATGTTAAGATCATGCAGATGGGACAGCCCTCTCGCAGCTCCTGCGGCTATTTTTATGCGGGTAGGCCGGTCCAGCGGGGGTTGTCTCTGGTCGCTCTCTCAAGCACGATGTCACATCTTCATTGATCAAGGGGAAGACGAGCAATAAGTCCCTCCATTTTGACGTTCTGCAAAATCCGAGGATGGTAAGCAGATTGCGATGTGAGGGTTTGATGCTACCAACCATTACCTCTGTTTTCGAACTGTACAATACCACCTTGAGTTAGTTCTTTGAATCTTTTGATTGCCACTGGAGAGCCATAACTAAATGAGCGATACTTTATCTCATTATGGGATCGAACACCAATTATACACATATCGTAAGCATTACTTCCGCTAAAAAATTTACTGGGTTGTAACGGTCTCCGTCACTTTTGGAAGTAATGGAGACCCCTTGACCGCATGTTTCACATCATGGGATTTTGGCAACCGGAATAGAAGTTCTAAGGGATGAAAGTTTGGTCATCTGATATGGACTTTCTTACCATAACAAATTCAAAATTAAATCTTCATTAATTAACATTTGGCCATGACACTTTTATAGTCTCCAAATTATTGTTCTAACCTTTTCTTTATTACTTTTATGAATTTCCGTCTAATTTTTATTCAATTAGAGTTTTTAAAAACAAATTATGAAAAATAAAACTAAGTGAAAAAGGGACTTTAGGACATTCGTTTTTCAGTCATGAAAATTGGTGAGACCCCTCTTATTGTTTTGCTCTTAGAGAGAAACTTGTTAATCAAGTCTACAGTTATCAATTTCTAAACTAAAGGTGGAGAAGGGGCCGTCTTAGTTGGCAATGGCCGTACCATTAGGATCGCATTTTCCAAAAACATTTAACAAAGCTTATAGGGCCAAAGCAATACATTTGTAGCAATAAATCCACTTATGTGTACACAACATAGCATTTTATATATAAAACGCAAAAGGATGTCAAAAGTCCAGTGCATGGCTAATCTTTCGCCCAATATCATACACTACGGCCACATTTATCTTTGGCGTAAGGCTCACAACCAAATTCTCACTTAGTATAGTTCTCCACCTATTATTAGTCGGTGGCTCAGCCCACACATAAAATCTTAACCCGCATAATATGTATACCAAATACCCACTACCCAACTCGAGGTTCCATCCAGTAACAAGGGCGCAAAGTCTAACAATACCACTTCCAATCAACCGTATGAACCATTAAACTTACTTTATAATAATGTTCCTAAGCCAGATCATATAAACACTTTCACAAAGCATTTCACATTTGAATCCATTTCAAAAAGCAATCATCAAACTAAGTTCTCAATGCTTTAATTATGACCAACAATGCAAATCCTCGTATTGAAAAGGAAGTCAATGTCCGATCCAGATTTTATAAACAAATGCTCCAAACAGTCCCACTTTCTTTTCAAATACCATATCATGCTCTTATCATATATCAACATATATACTGAGTTTTTGATATTTTGAAATTCATAGAAAGTAAAAGCGAACAGGCTAACACAGAGACCAAGAAGGGGTGAATTGGTCTATTAAAAAATTCTCGCGGAAGACTTCAGTAAATTCTTTTCGAAAATTATAAAGGTTGAGTTAATTCCACCAAATAATTCTCAACGTGGAATTCAATCTACCAGCAGGCTTCCATCAATATCGGTTCCTTAATAAAGCGTCTCTTAGCTCAACAATAAAGGTAAACTAACATATGTTTTTGTTAAAATGGCCCTAAAGAGGTGAATTCCTCTGCACCAGGTGCACCAGAGAGTCGATTAGAGGAGATCAATTCAGTCGATTGGAGAAAGGCATAGAATGTGAATGTCAAGGAAGTGATGCGATATAACCGTCAAGACGGTAGAGTCGATGATACTGGATGTTACCATTTGTAGATAAGGTTTACTAAATTGTAGGAGTTATGTCATGCGCATTTTGTCTTAGTAATCGTTTGTTGTGACTATCGATTATATATATATATATATATATATATATATATATATATATATATATATATATATGTTTGAATTGTGTGTAGAAGGGATCGCCAATCCAAGAACACTCGTTTTCCAGTACCATTTCTATCGATAGCAACAATTGCTTCTAGTGTTCATACTTTTAGATTTCTTGCCATTTCCATTCTTGTCCAAGAATCAATAATGGACCATTCGCAACCTTTGGCGATTTGAATCCATCGATCCATAATCTGAAAGGTATTTTGCCATTTCCGGTGAAACAACCCTACAATGA